GATGAGATAGGAAATTACTGTTCAAGCGGATAAGATAAGAACTGATGGGTCAGGTACAGACTCACAGGAGATCCTAAATGGCAAGATAGAGGATGGTCAATGTTTTGTAATTGGATGAAAACTGCTAAAGTCAACGGGGGCGTTTCGTCAGTGGCAGATGTGACTCAATTGCCTGTGACACATACGGATAACATGGAAAGTTTTGCTCTTGCAGAGACGTTCAAGTGAGTTGAACCTTCCTTCACATCCTCATTCTTTCCCGTCGTCATAATCACCCACTTCGACCATTTGGAGCTGATTCACCACCTTGATCTCATTCTACTCTCATTCTACTCTCATTTTACTCTCATTCTACTCTCCTTCCTCAAAACTCAAAACCTATGATCATCTGATTTCTGTGAAAACTCAACAAGACACAGAAAAGAATATACGAACGACGATGTCATCCCTGTCAAATCGAAATGAAAACTTTGCTTATACCAGATATCATTTCCTCTTACAATCCGACCCGGACGTTCTATCTCTAGACGATTACGTACTAAATACCGAAGCTCATCCATTTATAGCCACTTCTTCCCTCTCTCCAGGTTCACAAAACTTATGGGACCCATCCACCGTTTCCGACCAACAAATAGGTATCAGAGCTCAAGGTACAGATGCACAAAAATGGACAAGATTTGGATGGTTGAAAAATTCCAAAGCTCCTTATCTCCTAGAATCAGAAACACGAGATTCTGATCCAGGTACTGATGAAGGGTTTCAAGCTGTAGGAGGGAAAGGTAGAGGAGCAATGGGAGGTAAAGGTATGGGTTCAGGAGGTGGTGATCCTAATTATAGACCGAAACCTCCGATCGTACCGGGTAGAATATGGAATGAGTAGTGAATAGTTTTACGAATGGTATATAGTAAGGAGATATGAAAAGTCACGACTTTTGTATGAGTTGTATCATGATTGGTATGAATGCATATACATTTCATACGTCCATTCACTAAATAACTGTTAGGTGACGGACGGAAGACGTGACGTTTCGGGGGGAGCACGGGGTACCCGTGACAGACGGAAGACATGACACATGGAAGAAACTTCCCTCCTCCAACACATCTGACTCCACGAGTACCCATTCTATCACAATATACCGCTCAAAAACTGCCCCTCTTGACCTTCAAACTGGGTCAGATCCTGACTTTACTCCCAGTGTGAGATGGACAAAAGTGAAGCTTTATTGCGCTATAGAGGAATGCATGCATGCTTATTTTTGAGCCCAAGTGGATGAAGCTCTTCTAGCAGCTCTCCTCATATCCTGGACACAGTTTGGTATCATAGAAGTTGATGGGGACCAATGGAGATGATTTCTCCTCACGGTCATGGACAGGAAAGTGTGACGCTTTGAAGTGTCATGATCTTTACCCATGACACTTCGAACTTGCACGGATCTTTGATCCGTCACGCTAAGCCCCGTGACACTTCGGAGCGTCATGGCTTCCGTCCGTCACCTAACATAACGTTGTGACATGGTAGTGAATCCTGGATCTTGAACAGTGCTAAAAGGTACAATACATATTGACTTGACTTGGAAGAATTGATCTTGCTATATACTGTAAGTACTGTTGGTGACACACAGTCTGTAACAGTGCTGACTGATTGAGATCTCCGTGTCAGGTCTAACGATGATAGGAGTGGCTGATTAGTCCCTCGAGGATGTGCGAGTTGAAGAGGGCAAAGCTAGGAGGAGAATGAAGGACTACAAGGAGAGATGGGGTCAAGCGAGGGACCGGGCCGGGGACGGTAAAGGTGAAATTAGTCTTGTATGTAGGTGATACTTGTAGGGAAGAGGGAAGGGTGTTTGGAGGAAGAATGGCAGGGCAAGACTGACTTGTGATAGAGCTGTTGAAAGAGACAATGATATGAGAAGGGGAGGATGGGAACGTGAGAAGAGGAAAGAGGAAAGAGGAAAGAGGAAAGAGGAAAGAGGAAAGAGGAAAGAGGAAAGAGGAAAGAGGACAGAGGAAAGAGGAAAGAGGAAAGAGGAAAGAGGAAAGGGGAAAGAGGGCCAAAGGCCATGAGATAAAGGTAATGAAGGAACAAGTGAGGGGAAACCGGAAGGTAGAAAGGAAAGAGCGAGAGCGGACGATTGAACGGTACTATAAAGTGAGGATTGAACGAGAATTAAGATGAGTCAAGAGAAGAGACGTCGAGGGGAAGAGATGCGGGAGAAGGGAGAAGGGAAAAAAGGCGTAAAACAAAGTGGGTAGATATACACAACGGAATTCAATGAGATCAATCTGGTCTCCTTGATTTCCGTTACCTGTTACCTGCTCAGCACTTATTGAGAGTGATGCATACTAAAGAACTCACCTGTTACCTGCTCAGCACTTATTGAGAGTGATGAGCAGGAAACAGGTCACAAACTAACTATCTACTGATCATCGGAGTTACCACAAGTCTCGGATATACGAGTGTGGCTATGTGACTGTACCCTACCAATTCCGTCGATACATTATATGTCTTCTACAGATACTATCTAGGATTGTGGAACATGAGAAACGTTTTTGGCTCGATGAGAAGTCGTGGATTGAGTTTCAAGCGATTCACCGCCCACTCGTCCGAAAGTGGAAAAAAACTTAGAAAAAATCCCCCTTTCAGGTTGGATGGTCCGTGCGGACACAGAAATCTTGAGGAGCTTGGATCTTTTTGAAGGGAAGGGAGTAAGGCAGAGAGAAACAGATATTCTGCTTGGCTCTCACATAAACAGATATATCAAGGTTGGTTGGGTCTCAGAATCAAACACCACATTTATCCTGAAACCACCTAACTATCATACCAATTAGGGTGATAATTCATACAACCCATCTCTCTTTCAGTGCCCAACAAATTCATACATAGCTAACAAAGAGCATCACTCATGTCTGAACAGGGATATTATGGTGGGAATGCCTACCATGAACAAGGAAGTGGTTTCGCCAATGGCCAAGGAGGTTCTCAAGGTGACCAAGGGTATGGTCATGGGTACAGTGTTAGCCGATAGAATCGGGCCAGGACGGCCGAACCGCCGTTAGAATTACCCCTTCCGTCGAATATTTCTCCGTTCAACTTATCCTCTGAACTTTATTCGATCGTCTCTGGTTTTATGCGTGTGAGTGGAATGTGATAAGTATAGAGACATGTAGAATTGATGCATGCTCTTTTTCCCCTCTGTATTATCATCTAATATCAGCAAACAGATTAACAGTCGGAAGTCACATACCTTCTGTGTATAACAAAGGCAAGTTCCCATTTCTAACTCTCCTCATAATGACCTCCGTGTCGTCTAAGATCTCTCTTGAGAACCACCCAAAGTTATCCCACGATCCAGCATCGTATGCTCCGTGGAGGAAGTCGATCGAGGTGTATCTACAGATAGGTGACGTGTGGAATATCGTCACAGGTAATGATACCGAACCTGGTCGCATAGGGGTGAGATCGGCAGCTGAGAGGGCGGGATCAGTACCTCCTACCACGCCCGTCGAAGGGCAAGTGGTTGGTAGAAGGATTACTGGAGAAGAGTGGAAGGAATGGGAAAAGTGGCAAGCGAGGGAGAATAAAGCGCAGGGGATGATCAAGGGAACAGTGTCGGATGCTGTGATGCTTGATATATCTGAGAAGATGTCAGCTAAAGAAATGTGGGACTACTGCATAGCCCTGCATGTAACAGCGACGATCGAGAATCAAAGGAATGTCCGTCAAGCGTTGTTTAGCTATGACTTAAGGGACGATGCGACGGCCGAAGAAATGGCTAAGCATGTGGAGGATTTCTCGAAGACGATGTCCGAAGCGAAATTGGTGGGGTTGAAGTTTGACTCACAGGATCGAGCTGGGTTATTCCTCAATACCATTCTAGCACCATCCTACAGGATCATTCAGATCGAAGTAACATCCCTCATACCTGAGGAAAGAACTTGGGAAAAGGTCTTATCGATCTTCAATAAAGAAACGGCGAGACGTAAAGCGCGCCCTGTTGGTAGAACCAATAGGAAGGGATTCGCGATGTTCGTCGAAGGAAATAAAGGAATGAGGGTGAACCGAGATAATATCTCTGATGGTCAGCCCAGGAAAGAAACTAGAAAGTGTTATAACTGTGACACTGTAGGACATCTAGCGAAGTACTGTCGTAAACCTAAAAGAGAGGATACGAACAGGAAGGAAAACGCAGATGGAAAGGATGGAGGTAAAAAGAAATGGAGGAATAATAATAATAATAAGAATAATAAGAAAGGACATACGGTCTCGAAGGATGAGAACCAGTCCAAGGATAACTCCAAAACCTCCTTGATGTATTCGTCATTGGATGGTGAACACGAGGCGTGGGCCGGGATGGCCATGTCGACAGAATCGTGGTTCGATGATGAAGAAGGGTACACGAGTAATATCGTATGGCCCGAAGAAATTGAAAACCCGTGGGTTGAGGATAAGGATAATGAGTGGGGTGGGATTAGCTACAGAGTTTAATGATGTAAGCCACACTCGTGTAATCCCCACCTGGGTAGTGGATAGTGGTGCTACTCACCATATAACTCCTCACAGGTCGATAATGACGAATATTAGAAGGCTAGTGGAACCGAGAGTGTTCGGACTAGCATCTGGCAAGTCAATGACGGCTTGGGAAACAGGTGACATTAACCTCGAACTAGATTCAGGACAGAAAATGGTACTGAAAGATGTACATCACGTCCCCACAGCAAAGATAAGTCTTCTCTCCCTCTCGAAGTTACTCTCATGGGGGTGGAAAGCGAATCTAAGTAGTGGTGGTGGATGGATAGGTAAAGGTAAAGAGAAACTAGGTTTGAGGAAACATGACTCACTGTGGTCGGTACGATTCGGCAGAGCAATGTCTGCCGCGATGATCGTGATATCGACACCGAAGGCGACTTCACCACTTGAATCTGAGCATCAGCGACTCGGACATATAGGTGTAGACAAACTAAAGAATCTAGGTAGACAGGGACTATTGAAGAAGGACTGGGACACTTACAAGAACGATCCCTTTACAACAGATAAATGTCCCGCCTGTATGCAGGCCAAGATAACACGTCTACCGAAGAATAAAGAAGCACCAATGTTAAAAGGAGATGGTGAAGGAGTAGGAATGGATGTCGATATTACTGGTCCGTTCGGTCCGGCGATAAAAGGTGAACGATATTTCTTTGTTGGTGTGGAAAGGGCGAGTCGAATTGTATTCGCTATACCAATAACGACCAAAAACGAAGCGTCTGATATCGTTCGACAGTGTATCTCAAAATTGGAGAAACAGCTTGGTGAAAGGGTGAGGGTGATTAGGTCTGATGGGGGAGGTGAATTCGATAGCCTCGACATGAGGGAATTCTACCTGTCAGCAGGGATCAACCACTACATCACACCAAGATACACACCAGAATTAAATGGAGTGGCGGAGAGAATGATACGTACCTTGAAGGGGATGGTATCAACGATGTTGTTTGACTCAGGACTACCGAACGAATATTGGTCCTATGCTGTCAGATACGCCGCCATTATAATTATGAAAACATCGATTGGTGTCAGCGGTAAATCAGGTTGGACATCACTCACCGGAAGAGACACGAATCTAGATAGCGTGTGGAGATTCGGTGAACGGTGTTTTGTTCAGATACCAAGGGAGATAAGGCTGAAGTCGAACTTCACGATACCTAGGGGTTCATCAGCCATTATACTAGGTCAAGATGAGGGTGTGAGCGGTTGGATCGTTAGAATGGACGGATCGGGACGAATCGAACACTCACGAGACGTTCGTCGCTCGACAGGACGAATGGTGGCTACTAGAGAGTCGCCAGATGTCATCCAAACCCCTCTTGACGCCATCGAAGTGGACCTAGACCCCGTCGTCA